ATACAAAAATTACGTACTACAGACACTTCCACTTTATTTACAATCTGAATAGCATGCATATGTGAGTAGAATTGCTTCAAAAGATTTTCAATAAAGTTTCTGAAATTCTCAATAGTTTTCTGCGGCAACAGTGTTGTGACAAATAACTACCCCCGAGCCAGCCTCAAACCAGCGGCCCTTCCCTCCGAAATGCTGAGTTTAACCACTTCGGCCACCCGGCTTATACAGAGAATTGGCAGTCATAAGCGCCTAAAGACAACGAGTTGATAGTTCAATCCCATAAGAGATGGGAAAAATCATTTAAAAATTAAAAATTCGAAAATCACGTGCAGACCCAGCTACGACCCGAACCACCCAATCTACCCTCCGAAAGGTTGAGGCTTCGACCCTCCTCCAATTAGCTATCATGGTTATCCAGTTACGACGTCCAATATATAATATAATAATAATAAGTCTATGGTGGTTTGTATTCTAGCATTACGAAGCCGAGTAATGGAGAAAATGTGAAAAAAGTTTGGTTTTCTGGCGACAACATAAAAGCAGACTTGAAGACAATGACGCTTGGCGCAAAAGTTAGTCAAGAGTAGAGAGTAGAAAACTAACTTTGCAATTTTCGAAAAAAAAGGGCAATACCCGAAAACGGGACTATTACCATATTTCTTACAATTCCTTATTACATACGTGGAGAAAATTTTAAGAAAAAGTTTGAAGTGGTATTTCAGAAATTTTTTTTTCGTAAATTTCAAAAGCAAATTATACAAAAACTACTTTTCTTTTCTAAAAAACTAAAAGTGACATTTTTTAAAGATGTATTTTTGTACAATAGACTTTCACTGAGCCAAACATCTCAATCATTGGTGGGAGGGAATTTTTTGATAAAATCGGGGATATCATTGAAAATGAAACCTGCATCACTTTCTTAAACGTCTTTCGCACTAACGAAAAACAATATGTAATCAAAAAATTGCAGCGATTTTTTTTGTTGCAAATTTTGAAAAAGTCAGAGGGGGCTTCATATAAAGTACCCCCCAAAAATAAAATATCGAGTTCAAAATCCAGGGGCTGGAGAAAATCGACTAAACGGTTTAGCCGCTAGAATGACCACAGAAGGACTGTGGGACGTTTTGCCGTCAATCGAATTTTCGATATCAAGAACCAACAAAACATGGATTTTGGCTACACCACGTGTTAGAGGATTTCCCCCTACATTTAGCAACATAATTTATAGCCGTTTTCGTTACCAGAGCCCGACTAAAAGACTTTTTCTGGCGAAAATTTGTTTTCCGCTGCACGATTACGTAACTCTCTTCTTACAAAAAATTCGTAAGGCGAGAAAGTAATAATCATTTTAATGGAATCCAAATATATACTTTCTCAAGTAACGTTTTTCTGATTTAATCTATCCAATGATTACCTCTAATGAAAAGATACGAAAAATAAATAACTAAATAGGCAATAAATTAATATTAATAAGTGTGAGAATAGCCCATTTTTATTTCGCATATTATAATTAAAAGAAAAATAAAGGTCAGCAACACCGCGCGCGTATCCAAAAAGATAAATGTTAGAAATTGAAATATTCTCTATGGCCTGAAAGAAAAGTAAATTAATAAATATTTCAATTAATCACCTGGATATTACTTCTAGAATTAATCTATTAATAAATAATTATATACTAATATAATATTAATTATAATTACAATTATATACTAACTTACAATTATATACTAATATATATTAATTAATAATAAACATTTTATTAATTTAATCAATTAATAAATAATTAATCACCTACACAAGATACACTATTACCTAAAAATACAATTTCTACGTGGTGTTGTTTGCACTCAACATTTGTCTTAAGTTTAACAAAACTATAATTCTATGAATAATGGCATAAATAACATAGCATTTTAAGAATTATTATTCTTAATTCCTTTTCTTCTTTTAGCCTACGCCCACCCTTGACATGTTAGTCATTTGGTGACGTGGCGACCAGTATAGACGTGCAGGCTTTCCCCTCAGCCTGTAGTGATCCACACGCCCACAATGGTCAAGCGCGTAGATGGCGAATTGCTGTTGCTCAGTTAGCGTTACCCAGGGGACTCGTGTGGTAGACACGGACTTTGTCCCCGCTGTGAATTATTATTACTATATTATTATTATTATTATTATTATATTATTATTATATTATTACTATTATATTATTATTATTGTTATTAATCGAACCCGGACCTCCCGATTGCGAAGTCAGCGCGCTAAGCACTGAGCCATTTCGCTCGGTCTATTCTTATCTCTTAAATTATTGAAGGTAGTGGGTAGCAGATATTTTACCAGCTGTTTATTGTTAATGTTTTTATACTGCATACTCTAAATTTAAATAAAATCATATTATTAATATAATGAATACTTACGCACCGTTTTTATTTCGATATTTCATTGTGGGAGTTGTTATTTGTCTACTGAAAGCTGCCGATATTTCGTTTTCGAGAAAAGCTGATAGCTAGTTTCCATAAGTTCCACGGGTGTTTCCAAATGCAATGATTAGTGGGTCTATATACAAGTAATGACCTTCGTTCTTTATATACATGTGTCCTTTCGCAAAAAAAAACAGTGTTTATAATTATATGAAGCGAATTTCGTTTTTAAGTTGACGGGACATCAGTATTTCTTTATCGTAGTTCTCTACAACACAATACGTAAGACTTTGGTAAATATTACAAGATTTCAAGAAGAGCTTTCTTAAGTGACAAACGACTCATGATTTGGGTGGCATTCATTCGATGGTAATACTTTTTGCGGCAAGCGATTAGTTTTTTCTACAATTTTTTTCACATTTGTCAGTAAATGTTCGTTTCATTTCGTTTTTTTCCTGTCGAAATCATGCAAACCAGGGTCATTAAAAAGTTCCAGAATACTGAACCCTTTCGTAGCTCAACTTACCCTTGAGAGAAAATATCGTTGATACTATTGCTTCTTGACATTATGCTTTTCGATCTACTGAACTTTGCAATATATCTTTCTAAAAGGTTTTTTGCTAGCGAATAAATATATAGTAATACAAGCCCTACTATTGTATAGAGAAGATAAAAATCAATAATATGACTTCTATTCAAATTGTCCATAAAACTTGCTTCTCTCGGCGTTATTAAATGTACTAGATAAATGTAAATACTAATAACAACCGAATTAAAATATTGAAATGGGAGGTTTAATGACTGTTTAGAATAAAAAGGAATGGTTGAATCTAAAAAATAATCAAAGTAGCTGTAAGACAGAAATTGTTACTGCAATAATCTCTGGGAACAACCAATAACCGTCTCGTCTTCTTTGTTTTTTTCGAAGAAATGGTAAAGACGTTCATTTCGCTCCGACGCACCGTTTATCGCCTTGAGGCGCTACCCAGGCCACAATATTACCTCCCCCCTCGGCATTGGGCGTATGAAGCGAACAACCGAAGCGAGACATTGCAAAGCTCTCTTTTCAGTATACTTGTGTGTAAAATGACTGTACAAAATGGGAGTGATGATGAGATGCTAGGAAGAAGTTCTAATAAACAATTAAATATCTCGAGAACGGAAGTTGATAGCATCGATCGGATTGCTGAGTTATGTATTCCGTTTAAAGGGGATTCAGAGGAATCAATAAAAATTACATTATTTGCAAATTTATAAACAATTTCCCACTTTTCAGATCTAAAGGGAGAGAGTATCCCGAAAACAGCGAATTAACAATTTTGCAACAATTTACAATTTGATACACAAATTCGAAATATGAGCTAGAACGGTCGGAAAGGATCCACAAATTGTGCCTGAGAAAAACATTTTAATATAGCAGTTTGACCGCATTACAAATTGTTTGCTAAAATTAGTATAATTGTTGCTAAAGTGCTAAATATTTACTGGTCCATTGACAGTAATTCTGGACGGAAATCTCCCGCTCAGAAATATTTTTTCGTTGTGGCGTACGCGCAGGCAAAATCTCTCCTCGAGGCAATCTAGGCCCCCGCCCCTTGGAAAAGCGTGTTTCCCACCCCCGGTAGTTTGTGCCAATCACATAGACACTAAGAATCAACGCACCCCTCCCCCGGATCGAAGGGTGTTCAAGTTTGTCTGGAGGGCTGGGAAGATTTTGGAACTTTGCATTGAATGTCTTGCTTCATGTTTCTGTCTGGTTTAAAAATTAAGATATCGAGAAATGTTCCTTGGAACAATAAAATTCTTTGTAACGAAATATGCAAAATATGCTCTTCTAATTTCATGAATATGCACCAAGAAGAAATTTGCCCAAATATTCACAAGTATGCACTAATATATTAGTCTTCATGCAATACAATGCTAACCAAATGTCAGTAAATTTAACTTAGCTATGCCCTGACGTAACGGAAAAAATATGGTTATTTTCTGTAATTGACAATTACAATATATTGTTGCAATAAAATATATAACACAAAATTATTATATACTTATAGTATTTTGATAAATTGAAGTATTTGAAATACGTATGTATTTAGCACATGAAGTCCTAATGTATTTTGTGTATGTATTTAAATTCTGAGTTATAATTTATTTCAGCGAAGTATTTTAATACTAAATTTTAATTATTTTGCCGAACTCTGGTAAAGAGTTTTACAAAAAATGATGACAGATGTGTTAATTCGGAGATAAATTGTGTTATAAATAGTATTACATAACTATATTACCACAGGCGAGAAGGTATGTGCTGTTTTAGCACCTTGTAGTGTTGAGGTCAAAACGCTCTTAAGACTAAGAGAAGTATAGATTGTGGCAGAACACCAACAATGCAACCAAACAGTACTCATGTATAACCATGCTACAAGGAGAAAGGTAGAACACTGCATTTCTGGGAAGAGGCGTAGGCAGTACTTAGGCTAACTGTAATACTGGGAGGACCAACGTCAATGAACTCTCAACGGAGCAGTAAGTGTGTGCCTGTACCCTCCGGGGTTTGCCGTTAAATGTCTGACTACTCCAGCATACCTCATTCCCGCTCCTCTTGGCCGTCTGTTGGATCTTCGCGCCGCGATCCGTGGTGATGTTGCGCAGGAGGGCGAATCTGGTCTCGTAGTCCTTCCCCCAGAATTCGCGCAATCCGGCAGCGTCGAACTGCATATAGAGAGCGTTCACGGCTTCTGTCCAGGGCCAATTGCTGAGAAAAAGAGACGTGGGATTCAAAGCCGGACCGGGAAATACTTACCAGCTATGTATTTGAAATGGAAACAAACTATACACTAGTGGTGCTCAAACAGCACATATTTTGTCACCTTTACTAATAGTAATGAAATTCTTTTTAAACTAGTTATGTATTAGAATATTTTTAATCATTTATAAAAATGAATCAATGTTTAATCATTTGAATTTTTTTCTATTCCTTTTCCTTTACATGAAGCCCCTAGGACATTTTCAAAACAAATATATATATTTATTACTAAAGTACATTCACGTGTTTGTGCTTAGTTATATTTTTATCGCTACTGCGATAGATGCAAGTTTGAGGCTTCTTCTCTACGTTCGTCGACATAGGTCTCGGGGCATTCTCTGAGACCCAACACGGAGCGTAATAAATTCGCATCACGCACTCGATTACACTGCGATGCATGACTTTTAAAAATGAAGGGCTTGGGGCAGAAAAAAGATAGCAAAAGCAAAGCCTCTGCGCGTAAATGCTAATTTAAGAATCCATAATTTTAGTAAAACTGTGGATTAGTTTGTTATTAATATACGTTTGTTCACATTTATGAGACAGACAGTGAATTCCTTGGCGTGACTTTCTTGTTACTGCCGCAAGTCCTTCAGATGTATTTCTTCTCACCGACTTACCGTCTAGCATGGACCAAATTCATTCTTTCTTCAATAGTTTCTCGCATCACACGAAAATCCTTCCACAGTCCATATCCTTTCCCCATTTCCAACTCGGGGTACTGAGAGCCCGTTATAATGGCGAAGGGCGTGTGATTGCACATCAAGGCCTTCAAATCGTCCACCGAGATGGTTCGGTGCGACAAACGGCCAACTCGGTAACGGTTCTCAAGTTCTTGGCCCGAATAGATTTTGGGGTCCGGTTTTTCAGAACGAGTCAAAAAGCGATTAGAATGTGCTACAATAAGCAAGTTGGATTCGGCGAGTTGCGCAAATGTATCTATCTCTGGATAGAACTCAGGGTTCGTCATTAATGTGAACAAATTTCCCTGCGAAAAGAGAAGACATAGTTTATTAATTTTAATGCAAGATTGGTATACATAATACACGCCAACATTAAAAAAGACTGTAGTAGAATACTGCCTGTTTCATATGATATAATGCATTTAACATTTTATCTCCTTTCGGTAATTATTTCATAAAATGTTCTGTAAAACGTACATTTTATAAAATATAGCTTTCACTTGAAACTATTGGTGCTAAAGCACGTACTTCCTCGCCATTAGTATTGGTTATCTAATACTATATAAATATTACAATTTCGCTCCGAATAATTTTTGTAAAACTTTTTTGAAATCATAGAACATTTGGTGCAAAAATAAATAGTATGCGAGAAAGTAAAATAATTAAAAATTAATAAATAATACGGTACTGTTAGCGTTTGCTAACAAATAGATCGAAAAATAAATAATAATAATTATTTAACAATGGTATCGTAATATTCTACAAATATATAAAAGAATTAGTTTTTATTACCGCGAATGAAAAATAGCCGTCATTTTCGCCTTTTGTTATCTGTGCGGCGTTACAACAATGAGTAACAACATCTAATAATGACCGCTCATATACTCGTATTTGTTTTCACATTGAACACAATTATAAGACTCAATTTAAAATGAAGTGACATAACTATAACATAAATAATAATATTAAAATGAAATATGAAATAATATATAAATTCTGCCTTATGTAGAATCCAACTGCGTAAGTTGGGAGCGAGCAACTGTAGGCTAGCAATCTTTATTTTATATATATTTCAAATAGATTTTAAAATAATTTCTAATAGTTCAAAATCTTTTTTAAAAATTATTGAAACATTTTCTTTTAAATTTTGAAAATGTCTCAGGGGTTTGACGTAAAGTACTCCCAAAAACTAAAATATCGATTTCAAATTCAAGGGCCTGCAACTTCAGCCATACCGATCGGAAAGATCAATTTTGGAGAAAATCGGCTGAACGGCTTAGCCGCTAGCGTTGTTCACGCACAAACCGACGGACAGACGTTTTGCCGTCCATCGATTTTTCTGTATCAAGGACCAGTGGCGGCTCTGAGAATTGGCAACAGGCAGGGGACACAAAGTTACAGGATCAAAAGTTAGGCATTTAAAATATTCTTATATTTGGATTGTATAAGTCACGTAGGTAAAATTTACAATCGAATTTTCTTCCCGGAAGACAGGCTAAACACATGATCTATAAATTAAATTGAGTCTTCTGTTTTTACATTCTGTAAATCTGTTACTAATTCTTTAAAATTAAATTAGTCTCGTAACAAAACTCTTTATAATGAAAACAAACAAAGTCCATTCAATCTCTCTTCCGACATGGTATTTCTTAACAATATCTATAATCTTTTCAAAGTGGAAAAAGCTCTCTTGGATTCTTTTATATAGCACATCCAGCTCAAATTTCAGTTTGCTGGCTCACGAACGGAGAGTACTGTGAAACGCGATCAACCTTTTGTAGGGGGAAATTTTCTTGATATTGTTGGAACGTTTTACAATCAAAGAGAGAACACGTGGCTAAATTCTCCCTAAAATTAATACGGTCATTTATCCCTTTGAAATTTACGTACAAAAGAACGATTGCCATTTCTATCAGATTGTAAATTTTTTATATCAGGCCGAGGTGGTCCAAATCTCTTCATGCACAGCCTTGTATCATATAACCACATTGACTGATTTCAGGCATTTTACAGAATTGGAAACCATTCTCAATCTCAATGCACAATACGAACTGGGTTGGTTTCCTCGATAGAGGATAGCCTAAACGAGCATTGATATCACGAAAGTGGATGGCTGTAGATGATCGGAGAAGCGCAATTTATTGTGAGTATCAGAAGTTCCTTCAGATTGTTTTGTGCATTGTCATCAGCCCTTTGTACTGTAGTCGTAATGCAAGACGTGAAGATAGAGCACATATTAGTACACAGTATTCTTTACAGATACTAGCTACAGCATTACAGATACGAGCTAAACGACAAATTTGACAGAGTTGAAAACTTGATTCATGAAACGCCTGTACGTTTCACGTAAAATGTTGCATATACGTTTCATTAAAATTGTTTTTATAAAAAATCTGACTGAGTGCAACAAAATTAAGATAGTAAGTAATCACTATGCTACCCCGATCCCTTTAAATGCGAGATTTGTATTGTGATTCCATAAAGCGATAATCGTCGGTCTGCCAACACATTAACCAATGGCAGCGCCCCCAACACACTTTGCACCTTCACCTGATACACCGCTACGACGACGACAGCGGAGGCGAGCAGCGCGGCGGCCAGCTGCAGGCGCTGCGGCGTGGCGCGCACCCTGTCCTGCGGGGCGCCCCCGCACGAGGAGAAGGCGCGCAGCGCGGCGGCGGCGCTGGCGGCCAGCGACTCGCCCGCCACCACGCGCCACGCCAGCGCGTACGCCACCGCCGCCCCCAGCAGCGCGAGCCAGATGCGCGGGGAGAAGACGCGCAGCGGCAGCGACCACGCCGGCAGCGCGGCGGCGCGCGGGACCAGGAAGCGCGTCGCGGCGCTCTCTCCGCTGTGGCCCATGACGTCGCTCAGGGCCCAGTAGCGTTCGCTCACAGAAAGAGGAGAAGGTAAGAATTCTATGTTGCCTTGTATGAGGTCAACATATGTTTGAAATAACACTCTTTCAAATGGCATCTGTGAACAGAGACAACTCATTAGCCGTATTATTATTGCAGCGAGTACGAATGTTTTACAGTTTAAAAGCTTTGCACTCTGCCTTCATAATTTTTTCAAACATTAAAAGTGTTGAGTAACAATTCTATTGAATACACTCGACCAACTGGTTGTATATTTTGGACTTCGGAAAGGAAATAGAAATTGATCCTTCCTACTAGGGTGAGATGAAGGGTAGCTTACTCACATCGCCAAAAAGAACATTTCAGATCCGCACAACGACATTCAGTACCATGGGAAAATATTCCTATAGGAAGAAGTTAAAAATAAACTAATAGTGAGCTTTGAAGTACCCATTTTGTCGCGTATTTGTAACGGCTAGAGAATATTGTCATACTACAAAAACCTGAAAATTGTTTCCATTTAGCAAAACAAAATTTCTTCGCGCAGGTTTTGATCTCAGGTCCTTAGAGTCAACACGTCAACACGTTGGTGCAGCGTTGCCCCTAGACAAGGAGCCTCGCAGTATAAATTCCTGACCCTTAAAAAGCCAGACTCTTAAAAGATTTAACACTACAAATATTTTAATTTCCCTTATTTCAAAATATAGTTTTAAAGACCAGATTTCATTAAGGAAACATTCTATATCATCAATATTGTAGTTTTACAATGTAAAATTTTTATTTCCTGTTTTCGAAGATACAGAGAATTCGCCAACATTCAGACCTGCCCAATATGTTTGAAGCGTCATTTGCGCTCACAGAGGTAAAAATTTAAAGAAAAACTTCGGAAATGTTAATGATAAAAAATACAAATTGTCTTTTATTGCAAGAAATACTCAAAAAATACTCCATTTTTCAAAAAATTCGGCATTATCATATTTAAGATTTTATAAATATTTTTAAAGTTTTATGTTTTAGAAGAGATTGCATTATGAAATTAACTATGGCACCGAATTATTCGTTCTAGTTCGTTTTCTAATTCTACCGTTTCGTCTAAATTGCCTCAACCTCGTCCTATATGAGAATTTTCTTTAAATAGAAGTCTTTTTGATAATTTTTTAAAAAAGTGTTTCTCTAAAAGATAAATTTGAAGCTCTTTTTCAAGGAAACTATTGAGTTTTGAAGAAACTTCATTGGCAAACATTTAAAACACTTCTACACACAAATCCAGTAATGTATACAAATCGTTGGTAATATAAATATTTACGGTATGAGAGATATTATTTAAAACATTGTGTACTTTGTGTAAAACTAAAGAACACATTAAAGTGGCATTTATGTCACTATATTTAATATTCGTTCAAAAAATTTAAAGAAAAATTTAGAGTTTTTTCGAGAAAACGTCCACTCACTATTTCTGAAAGTATGTAGATTCGAGCTCATTTTCACAAAAAAATACGGAATAGTCCATATTTGGACCACACCAAAACCAATTTTGAGAAACCTAAAAATGATGCGTCTAATTACAATGTACGTACTATTTATGTAACTAATTATAATTATTCCACTTGAAGTCAGCTACAGCATCTCATGTTACTGGAAAACCTTATCGTGAGGAGCTACAACGGTCCGAGGTACAACCGTGAGAACCGCTTTAAATAGACAGAAAGAAAGCTTCGGTTTAATACTGATGGGGTGATAAACAAAAGGTAAAAAGAGCATAAAGCAAAGAGCAAGAAGAAAAAAATCGTCCTCCTTCACCGAGTTCCTCAGACTAAGAAGATCAGAGACAGCCGCCCCTGGATGACTCCGATTCGAAATTTGAGAGACCACAACCCACAAGACCCCTCCACAAAGAGATTATTTCTGTCTGTTTTGCCAAGGGATGATTTCCAAAGACAGAAATGGGGAAGATTCGCTGCAGCCTGTAACATGTCATGTGTGTGCACACAGAATGTGCTGGTTGGGAGGGAGATGTTTATACATGTGGTTTTTGTAAGCAAATTTGCGATTTTGTGTTTATATTGTACTATTTGTAAATTAATTTTACTGCCATTATTTTTTTCATGACATTTTTCTAAACTAAATTAGATGTAGACCATATTAGGACTCCGTTTTTAAAATGATATTTTGAGCAAAGTTTTATGAATAAAGCATTTTTTAATGCAATTGTAATTTTTAATTCTGAAACTTTCCAGAATTGAAGAATATGAGGCAAAAGTACGGCTAAAAGTTTAAATTCCCTCATATGTCCAAAAATGTGCCAACTACATTCCAAAATCAGAAGCTAGATCATATTTGAATCTTCTCCTCTACATATACAAAAGTCAGAATAATTACAGCTCCATTATATTTCCTATACTTTAAAAATATTTTACAAATATACAGGTGTATTCCTCGCATAGATACATGACATAGGTATGATACATATACATCAGTATTTTTAGACATTAAACATGACTAAAAAACAAGAGTGCCACATATACCTGTTACGCATC